ATTCTCCTTGCCTTTTTTAGGTTATGGGTGCATTTGTGCTTCGAACATGAATCTTGCGCAGGGTGCTATTCTAGTTGGGAGGGGCACGCGGCGGCGCGGCGCTCTGTTCGTCTCCTCCTGCAAGGCTTAGTCCTCGATGGCGCGTATTTCGAAACTGCCACGTGATGGCGAAATAGTAACTGCCCCTGGGACTAAGCCTTTGGAGGAGCAGACGAACAGAGCGCCGCGCCGCCGCGTGGCCCCCCTCAACTAAGATAGCACCCTTGCGCAGTCCCAGACTTGTTTGTCTTTTCAGGTTGTGACCCACTCGTGTCCTTTAGGTAGTGATCCACAAACTTGTGAGGTTCTCTTTTCTAAAAGCTCTCCCTTATACTGACTTTCACAAGCCGTTCACTTGGGCCGTATCCACTTTTTTCCCAGGCTGAGGGAAGAAAATATCCCTCCAACTTATTCATTTTTCAACGACACAGTTCCTTATTCTCAGTACATACGTACTTTTAAACACACACATACATTTCAAGTAGGCCCTTTCTTAGGGACATTCTGGTCGGAAAGACGAAGAGAATTCAAACGGATTTTTTCTTCCTCCAGCGTGTGGGGAGGTTAGGGTACGGCCTCATGTTACGTATGCTGCATTTATGTTTCTCCCTGTGATCTTCTTTGATTTCTTGATCATCTCGGTTCGCTTACAAGTAACTCACAATCACAGCGTTTGCCTTGCTCTTCACTTTCCAGTCAATGTGAAATGTTATGGTTACAGATTTCAATACTTGTATAAATATGGCCAGGAAGAAGCGGGTAGAATCGGACGATGATAGTGATTTCAGCTCAGGTAACGTCTTGGTTTCTCCTTTCGCAGAAGCCATCAATCTACCCGAATGTCGGAATATTAGAGGATAAAATGTTTAGATGATGAGAAACCCAAGAGGAAGCCGGCGAAGAAACGACATTCTTCGCCAACAAAATCTCCTCCAGGTCTCAAGAGGAAGCAGGCCAAACCCAATACACCGGCCAAGGGTAGCAAAGGTCTTTCGAAGGACAACAAGAAAAAAGCAGAACAGGTCAGTGAGCCTACTTTATTTCAACAATCATTACTAAAACTATTTGTGTCATTTAGAAGCAAGGAGGCAGTTCTTCTGAAGAAGAGAACGAGTTCGTCGAAGAATTTGAAAGTGAGGATTTGCTGAGAATGGTATGCGATTTATACATCATTATGGTCGTTGTGGACCACATACTTCTTTCAACTCCAGGTTATCCCTCCGAGGCCGCAACCGTGCATGAAACCTGATGGGAGCGGAGCGAGGCTTGTCATCAGAGAAATTGTCGCTACCAATTTCAAGTCCTACTACGGAAAACAGAGGATTGGTCCTTTTCATAAGTAAGGTTATCTTTACTCTTTTTTCTTTGTATAGATTTTTGGCATTTATTGGCTCTAAAGATGTGGAGAGGGACTCATTACGGCTCGATCCGAGCGTTGCGCCAGCGAATCGAACGTTGCACCAGAGAATCGAACTTTGCGCCAGCGAGTCGAACGATGTACCAGCGAGTCGAACTAGGTACCAGCGACTCAATAGTGGCGGACCCAACGTTTAAAGGAAGCCCGCCACTTTCAAACAGTGTCCATTGAAAGTCCGCCACTTTCAAACAGCGTCCACTGTCACGTGACACTGTTTGAAAGTGGCGCGGCTTCTTTAAACGTTGGGTCCCGCCACTATTGAGTCGCTGGTACATCGTTCGACTCGCTGGCGCAAAGATGTTCGATTCGCTGGTGCAACGTTCGATTCGCTGGCGCAACGCTCGGATCGAGGCGATTCGCTAGCGAATCGCTCGATTCGTAAAATATCGCCTCCCTGTCACGTGACACTTTTGGAAAGTGCGGCTTCTTGAACGTTGGTCCGCACTACTAGTCGTGGCCAACGCTCTGTTGCAACATGACATAGCCTAAGAAGGACTTCCTGAAGTAGGGGCACGGCAGTGCATTGGCAAACAGTGAGCCAGTCTAACAAGGAATTGCTGAATCAGCGACTGCGCGGGATTAACACGAGGAGAAGATGAGGGTTGTGACGAGGTCCATCCAGTTGTCTTGAACGGGGCGGAACAAGCACAGGCAGTAAAATTGCTTGTCCATTCGCATTTACCTGCTTTCACTTTCCATTGTAAGCTCCGTCCGAAAGTAGTCAGCAAGAGGTAGAAAACACGAATGAAAGATACATTGGATTTTTTTTGCATTTTCCTAATGCTTTTCAAAATCGATCTTGAACGCTTTTCATACTTTTTGTCTAGCAACTTTTTTTTCAGAATTTTACCGCTATCATCGGTCCCAACGGTTCAGGGAAGAGTAATGTTATTGATTCCTTATTATTCGTCTTTGGCTACAAGGTATTTTTCAGTTCTTTCACCTCTCGTGCTGTCTCGCAAATATTAACTTAAATTATCGCTATTAAGGCCTCAAAAATTCGTTCCAAAAAGCTTTCCGTGCTCATACATTCCTCTAGAGGTCATGACGACATAAATAGCTGCTCTGTCGAAGTATTTTTCGAGCAGATTATTGACAAGGTACGTTACTCAACAATAGCAGAAAGAGTGTGGGCTTGAAACAGTTAGCCATGCAAAACTTTAAATCTCTTACTCGTAAGCTTTTAGTCCTCTGTTTCCATCTTTTTTTTGGTGAACTTTCTCTTCTTCTTATTATTGTTGCTCACTTTTCACTATATGGGTTTGTAGTTGTTGAGACTGAAATTTTTAAAGGATGGCCACTTTGAAGTTGTTGATGGCAGCGAGTTCAGTGTTTCGCGGACTGCGTACAAAAACAACAATAGTGTGTACGCTTGGAACGGCAAAGTAACGCTTCATTTATTCTGTCAGCGTCATCCGACGAAAGTACTACCTTAATTTAAGACAATGTCCATAAAAGAGATCGCTGTTCGCCTGAGAGATCTTGGAATCGACCTGGTTCACAATCGTTTCCTTATTCTGCAGGTTCTAATTATTCTTGACTTCTTTGATCTTCGCTTTCACAAGTTGTTGAATTGAAGGGAGAAGTGGAGCAGATTGCTATGATGAAACCTAAGGGTGAAAATGCTCATGAAGAAGGCATGCTGGAATACTTGGAGGACATCATAGGTTCTAGCCGTTTTCGGGTGAGTAAAGCAACAGTGTCATGGCTCTGAGCATCAATTTACTTTACCTATTTTCAGGTACCCATAGAGAAGTTATCTGCGAAGGTAGAAACTTTGAAGGAACAGCGGTCTCAAGCTTTACAGAGGTTATTTTGCATACTTCTCATTATCAGTTACGTTGCAAAGGGCATCATGGTATTCTAAAATTGGGTTTTGGTAAAATATTGATCCTCGGACATCCAATACGGCGTTACCACATCAAGAGATTCTTTCTGACTTATGCGAGCTAAACTGACACTTCGGAAAAATAGCTTAAACTGTTCACTTTTGAAGCATACTCTCTCGCTAGGTATCTTTTCCTTTTTTCGCCACCCTATCCATCCTCCATACAGAGCTCAGATAATTCCTGCTTTTTAATGATAAGCTCCTACTTATGGTTTTCCTTTCACGGCAATTCGGCAGTGCTTCATGCGCGCTCTCTTCTTCGCGATACAAATTATGAAACGTAGTGTACTAATGTTATACGCCCCGGTTCTGTTGGAAGCAAAATGTCCGACAAGTGCAAAAAGCTGGTTCGACTCCCGCATGAGCTGAGGTGTTTTGCCAATAAACAAATATTGTGATAACTTTCAAGCGTTGACTGTGGCCAAAAGACAGCAGGTTAACAATCAAAAATTAATCATACAATTGTGCATCTTCTTCTATGAATGAACAAAATCGCTTCTAATATGGGCCTATTACGCTCAAGGCTGCTTTCATGCCTAGCGCCGGCGCCGATGTGGAATGTGAGTTTCCTCTTTAACAAATCACAAGTCTGACTACGCGCCTAGCGTCATGTGCCAGCATTCTATGCTGGCGTTGTCGGTGCTTTCCGCCTTTTCTACACATCTGCACATTCCACATTGGCGCGGTGTATGGAAGTAACGTAAGGGCCGGGTCATACTCTGCAACTCAAGTGTGAGATGGATGTGTCGATCGAACTATCGGTATGTTCCTACTCCACACGAGGACTGCAAAGTGTGACCCGACCCCGATGACGTTGTAAAGCTACAACAATAGCATAGGGACTCGTTGCACGATACCATTGCCTGCGTGCAAATCTTGAAAAAAAATATGTTCAGTTGTTTTCAGAAGATCCTTCTCATGTAAATGCACTTTTTAGAGTTCGAGCGGCTGACAGAGAAAAGGTTGCTCTGGAGGCACCGGTCCGTGAAATGATATCATACCTCAAAGCCGAAAATCACGCTGTACTTCTAAGAAATCAGCTCTTCCACATCAAACTGTATGTTTCTGTAACTTTCCAAAGCTACTTTGATGATTTGATTCTATCTCATCGGAGTGGATTGCCTCTCGTTTAGTTTCAAAATTCTGGAGGAGGTCGAGGCAGTTCAACCTCTTCGTGATGCTGCGTACGAGAAAAAGGCTGAAGTTGATAAGGCTCTGAAGGACG